GCTTTCCATTTCCTTCTGGTCACAAGAAGCAAGACATTGTAGTTCATAAATTTTTAGTGCTCAGTACCTTGATTTAAATGTCACCCAAATCTGAAATTGAAACACCTTAATCAGCAAGTAGTTAACCTACTTATTTATAAACTGTCCTGGGTTAACTGGGCCCATTAGGAAAAGTACCTGCATATGTGAGCATTCTCTGACTCACTAGTAAGGTAGCACTCTATACAGAATCACACACACACAAATATATATTCTCCCAATCCCATTATCTAGTTTTCTACTCTTTATATTTATCATTACATGAAATTATTATCACTTCGTAGTTTCTTCTGTCAACCTCACCTACTAGTGTAAGATTCCTATGACAAGGGCCTCCTATCATTCCTTTGTATATCAGCAGCCTCTCAAGTGCTTGAAAATACACACAGTAAATTTTGGAAAAACTTTTTATCAAATTCCTTGAGTAAACCAGTATATTTTACTAACATCAATAGGAGTCGTGTGCTGGATTTTAAAATGTAGAAAAAATTAATTAAATCCCATTTTTAGACTTCTTATTATAGAAATACACTTTTCTCAATGAAATTGTGAGTCTAAAGGTTTTATAAGAGGATCTACTACCAAGTAATACAGCCTTGCAAATACAGGCACAGCTGCGTTCCTCCCAGATCTGCTCAGGACAGTTCATCTGCCTGGTCAGCTTTCTCTGTGCAGAGTTCTGTCGTGATAGCTGGTCGGGAAGTTCTTGCCCTCTGGAAACGTAGTCTCGGAAGGGAAAAGTTAGCTCATGGAAAAGACACTTGATGAGATAAAAGAAAATAAATAATCAACAATTACAAATAAATAAATCTCAACAATTCCAACCAGAAGAATAAATAATTCCAAATCAACAAGCTTTGTGTTTATATAGTACAAACTAGGTTGAGGAGCTTTTTTTTTAAAGAGATAGCTCACTAATATAAAGGGGCTTCTAGCCTCGGAAATAAGAAAGCAGGAAGTTTCCAGTTCCCCTTCCTTTGGTGCAGAAGTGAAGTTTTTCTAAGTTATTGAGCAACTGTGCTTTCATTTGCCACTTGGGAAATTTTTTCTTACTTTATGCAACCTTAGTGTGCTGCAACCATCTTCTCTCAGTTTTCCAGTCTGACTGTTCTTATTGGCTCATATGGGGAAGAAGACTTCTTGACATTATCCTAGAGATTAAGAGTGCTCTTAAAACGAACTGATCGTCGGCAAGGATGTTGTAGATGCTGCAGCTTGCCCAGTTCTGTACTGGAGGCTGTGAGATACACAAAAAAACACACTGTGTGATGATGACGCTCAAGCAGCTGTCAGTCTAGCTAGAAGACAGAATTGCTGCCCATGAAATAATAAGGCCATAAATAAAAATACATCCTGTATGTTTGAGATTCTATATTGTTTTTGTTTGGTTTATGCATTTATATTACGGTATAATTTATTTTCAGGTAAACACACAAACCTGAAGTACATCATTTAGTGAGTTTGACTAGAGCATACACCCAAGTAAATCTCAACCCGTATCTTATTGAGACAGGGACCACGGGCTTAGATAGAGTAGGGTGAGGGCCTCCGGAAAAAACAAAGCAAGATAATCCATTGTGGATTTGCTTTGGCCTGCTGGGGGCGCCCAGCTTATTTTTCTGACTTAACCCAGGTGCTGCTTTTCTTCCTCCAGTCCTAGTCAAGTGATTTGCCACCTGGGCAATTTATTTTGACCAAACAAACAGGAAGGATTCCATCTTGAAAATAAGATTGCATTTTAAAACC